GATATTAAATCTTCTGATTTCAACCAAGCCTGTACGATTGTTTTCTCAAAACTGAAAGAGCGTGGGTACTCTAAACGATTTTTACGAAACATAAAAAATTCCACCTTAGCACAGATAGCAGCTAAAAACAGACTTTATGCCGAAGTACCTCCAAGTTTAAGAAGTGCTCCATGTTTGTCCAGTAGATGCAAAACATGTCCCTTTATATCAGAAACTCATTATTTTGTAAGCAACTCTACGAATAAAAGGTACCCGATCCAGGAACATCTAACATGTGAACATTCGAATGTAATATATTTAATTTCATGCAAGGAATGCCCCAAACAATATGTAAAGATGAAGAAGATGAAACTACCAAATTCCGTCAATCTAGGGAGGCCCATTGGATTGACACATTGAATACAGCAAGACCTATAGGACTAAATATTCATCATAATGTAGGCATAGCACCCTTTGTTGTCCCGTTTAATACAACCAGCAATCGAGCAAGCAAGATAGTTCATGCCCACTATAAGAGCCTTCAAGAGAAATTCCCCCATGTCTATAAGCAGAAAATGATAGTTGCATATTCAAAAAATAAGAACTTAAATGATAATATTGTTCATAGTAAATTAAAAACAATCAGTACATAACAGATACTATACTTCTCGCCATCGGGCGAGTTATTCTTTCTTATTTCAGATCAAAATAAGAAACAGAAGAAAACCCGATATCAAGACCCTTAATCCTAATTTCTAAATAAAGTGTCTGCTCCACCCTAGGCCTGTACATTTGGGAGAATCAAACCCTCCCTTCCCCGAAATTAAACAAAACGATTTAGACTAATGCCAACGTATTCGCCAAACGTTGACATTACCTGAGCAAGTCAGAACTGGTATATAACGGTTGTTAATATGAGTTTTTTTTTTTAAGTTTTCGAAACGTTCTTTATAGGCTAATATCACGTTAGGTATACGTTCAATTAATTATAAAAAAAAGCTATGAATACGCCCAAAAGAAAAAACGTCAATAGTCATGGTGTGACAGGGCCCCTAGTAAAGAAGACGAATTTTATGTTATAATTAACTTTGAACACGTACAATAACAACTATTGACTAGTTTTGAACATACCCAATAATAGTGTAATTTTTAATTCAATAAGAATTTATCAATAATAAGACATTTTTTACTAGGTTTTCATTGATAGTTGTCAGATGACGTTTTCGCTGCCCAATAAAGTTTTAAAGAATTCTAACCAGATTAAAGGTTGTCAAACGATTTCCGTCTGTTTATTAGAAATTGGGATATGTTTAAGAATACGATTTTAACCTTCGTGTAAAAGTGAGATTTTATAGAATATTAGAGTATGTAATACGTGTACAGAACCCTTTTTCGATCTTTAAAATGTGACTTGAGAAATTGTTCAATAACACGATATTTTAATTACTTTTCTATATTTGGAAACTAAATTCTTTCACAGACCAAAAAAAAAATTGAAATAAAACCAGTAAAGCGAAAGAAAGAGAAAATGTATGGATCTCTATAGACAAAGTGGCAATGAAACGGAAACCAATTCACTTCACGTCTTGTACCTGTGGCAATCCCTTTCAATAACTGATTGATGACGAAAGTACGACTTCGATCGCCTTAATTATTTATTGGAAACACTTTCCATGTCTTTGTAATGATTGGCAATATTACGGAAGCATATTTCCATTAAGATTGTACCGCGTTTAATTGTTCCGACATCTTAGAACTTGATTATTGCATAAGAAATTGAAACGCACTTATTCTCACAACAGCTTAAATAATTTATTACCACAGTGGTCTTTAAAAGAAACTGAATTCGACGGTCTATAGCGTATTCTCTTGTAATTCCAACAAAATCTGCAGGTTTTTTGTTATCGCTTGGTTGAACTTGATAAAATACTGGAGTTATGATGTTACATCCATTATAATGATTCTCTTGGCGCTTTATTGTAGCAGACTTACATAACTTCATCGATAACCGCCAATGGTTCCCCTCTTTATGTGTTTTCCATTAACTTCACATTTTAATTTTGTTGTTATTTCATAATGAATTCCAGGTACCATAATGTCTGTTTTACCACATCAAGGTCGACAGCTGCAATATGTTTGCATTCTCCTGTCTAACAAATCGATTTTTTAAGTGTAATAAAGACATATTAATTTGTTACTTTTTCTTTCTCCCATCTAAACTTGCAGTCAACGTCTGATCTATATTATACTCCTGCAGAATACTATTGTGCTTAGAGCATGAGCATTAAAAGACTCTCAATAATTATGAGCTCTTAGCGTGAGATGATTAACCTACACATTAGAGAAAAAGGGAAAATATAGACTCAAACGTGCAGTGAGAATTATAAATGACAGAATAAACGTAAAAAAAATATGTATCCCGTTGAGCTGATACTGACGCTCTGACTATATACAAATCAAAAACATTCCAAGTGAGCACTCATCTCGTCGAGCAATACAGACAATGGCTACAGCCCAACTGGAGATCTAATACTTCAGTCTTGAAGGGAAATAATAAGTGTGTTGAATGAAACCGCTTTAAGCCGCGAGTCTGTCTTTTTGTTCTTCCCATGATGTGATCAATTACAAATCAACAAAAGTTTCAGAATAACAAATTATCCCTAAGATCAATACTCCATGTAAATAAATTCGTTAACGAAGACTAAGTCGTACTGCTTCCTCATTGTTGCGGGTGTTTGTTAAATACTTACTTATGATTGGCATACTTCCACGTTTGAAAAGTTCATTAGTTGCTTGCTATATGTTTCGTCAGTAGGCCTATAATTTCGGGTTTCGTTTTGCGCTTCGGATCATTGGTACTCGGTTTGTTTTTAACAATAATTATAGGTAATAACCAAGAACAGATGTTTGCTAGTTATTTGGGACCAAATTTCTATGCTCTATTTATAAACTAAAGTAAATTCAATTAGTAGCAGGTATGGCAAACATTATATTCCTTAACACAAATCAGCCGATTTTTAACAGGAAGCTCGTAACTTATGATTCTTCCATTTAACAGATCAAATTGATAACATTCACTAATTGTGGGGTTGTTGTTTTGCCATCGAGCAATTAATAAGATGAGGTGCGGGAAAGTAGACGTGAATACGCGGAGTACAGATCCGGACGCACGATTCGCCTTCTTGTTTCTACTGTATCGATAACACCGCACCGCACCCTATCTATTCCTAACTTTAAGCCGCGAATAGATGGATTACCGAATCCCGTACGGTGCAGGATAATCGATACTGAAAAAAATAGAAGTGAATACACGATTCGCTTCCACTATTTGCTATTGTATTGATAACCCCGAACCGTCAATCGCACTGGACATCGTACTTCGTTCGTTCGCGGCTTACACGGAAAGTCATAATTCACCTCGTCATCTATCAGAAACAAATGTATCGAATACTTTGAACCAAATGAGCGGTCGTCTGGTAAGTCAAGTATAGGTTTGTGCAAGAAACTTTTGACATAGATGGATACCAATGTTAAATGCAGAAATAAAGATTGAAATTTTGACTAAAATTGTCCAAAATCAGCTCGTAATATTGAGGTTCATTAGTAGATGCCAGGTTATTATCCACTTCCAGCAAAATGAACAGTACGGCCTATCTATATGAAACTTCAAGACTTGAAAACGTTTAGACTAGTCAAGAAAAGTGACAATTATGACAGTGTGGAATAATTGTATAAAATCATATGCCTCTACTGAGCTAGATAAGATCCAAATCATATATGTTGATCAGCTATGACGGGTGTGGCGCCTGGGTATACTCACTCTTCTAGACACCTGGTACCAAATTATAAAATCCTTACTCAATTTTAATTGATATACTTCCTCATGCGAAAAGTTCATTAGCTAACATGTCAAAATGTTGTTTGGGATTGCGGGTTTTGTTTTGCAGTTAGGATCGTTGGTAGTTTATTTATCAGACACATGGTTTTTGTTTTAAATCAATTAAAATGGAAACACGAAAAAAATCAAAAAGACTTGCAAGCTATTTTGTATTTTCCCACTAACATTATTGTGATTTCCGAATTAATCATTGAAGACACAAAAAGCCAGATATCTGGCCAATTACACCAGAAACTGTGTATTCAAGAATAGTTTATCTTTGATTTAATCTTTCTTAAAAATTTCAGCTTGTTCCCAAAATTGTTTACATTTGTGCTTTTTTTTTGTGTAATAGTAACTTATCAAATACATAAAATTCATAGCGTCACTCATCATATAGAACAAATGATTGTCCTTTGGGGATTCTTATTTGTTTGTTCACCACTAAAATAAAACTTAAAACAATTCCTATTTTCACTAAATATTACTAATTTTACACAATTTATTTTGACTATCATCTGCATCTTTCTTCTCCAGGTATCATCGTGAGAAAATGAGAAAGTTGAATACCGGACAGTGAAAAAGTTTTTGACCTCGGAAGAAATTACCCCTAAAGGAATTCAATGTTCAAGGTATATGAAAAAGGATGCTCTGAAGAATTATTCAACCACTAAACGTTGGACAGCCTTATGTGGCAAACGCTACGTTTACAGTAATGAACTGATAAAACCCTTAATAGACGAAGTACGGTGCGGGATAATCGATGCAAACGGAAATAGAAGAATTGAACACACGATTTACGAAACACGATTCGTTTGTTTTATTTATACGTTTTATTTTCTGCTGCATCGATAATTCTGCACCGTACACCACACAGGCTTTTTTATGACGCCAGAGGATTCTTACTGTCAGAATTTGACACGCATATATTTCTATATTCACCAAGGGTGATTTGGAAAAACAAATCAGTAAAAGATTTCACAGCTAATTATTTATAGAGATGGTCCTAAAACTTTATAAAACATCCTCGTATGACGTGAAAACTTGAGATAGGGGTGTAGGCAGATTGCGTTTTGGAATAGCCGCGGTCTTCGGCAAGATGGTCAGTTAACTTGTGGTGGTACAACGTTTAGAATTTGACATTATGGCGTGTGAGACGTTTTTAATTGGGGAACAAGTTATAAATTTATCTGAATATAAGTGGATTGGAAATAATCGCAAACTGCAGAACAAACGGTCCAAACGTGGTAGTGATGGCGTAGGATTTTTAATAAAAGAACAACTCATTGGAAGCTATTTTAGATTCAAGTGTCGAGGGCATTCTTTGGATTCATATCAAAGGTATTAATTCAAATCTGTCTATCTGTTAAGCTGTCTGTAATTTTCCCCCACAAGGCTTCACGCGTCCAAATGAACCAACTAGCTTTTTCGGAACTCTATTAGATTAAGTGTACAATTTCCAGAATATTGGTGATATACAGATTTTAGATGATTTTAACGCTCGGTGTGGTGACAATTCAGAAATGATTGAAGGAATAGACAATGTTTCATTACGTACAGTGATACATCGGAAAGAAAATTCCCACGGCGATTTATTGATGAACTTTTTAACAGTATCTAACCTGGCTGTATTGAACGAAAGAGTGGGTTCTCAAGATTTCATGTGTATATCTAATAATGGTGAATCAGTTGTGGACTATGTATGTATTCCTCATGAGAACTTAAATACGATCGAATCATTTTCGGTTTTGACCATGCCACAAGTTATCAATGATGTTCTAATTCAACCTAATGCCATATCAGATGATTCAATATTATTATGGGAGGTTGAGACGACTGTTCAGATCGAAGTACCGAAACCATAAACAAGGAAGACTATTTGAAAGTATGATATTAAAACTATAACAGATTTCATGATAAATAGTGATGCAATTGCGCAATTCACTGATAAAATATCTAAAATGGAAAGAACGAGACTCAAATGTTCAAAATGCTTACAATTCATTTCAAGACATCATCGATGAAATGATTTTACGTGTTAAGAGTAGGGAGATTGTAGTAACTTATGAGCCTAAACCAAATGCTACCAAATCAAAATATAAACCATTTTGGGCAGATGAATTATCAGCATTATGGAGAAAAGTGAGAGTTAGTGAACTGGAATGGCTTAAAGAAACATACCATTGCAGAGTAAGTGCCTTAAAAGCGACATATTGCAGACAGATATGATAAATACTGATATACTAAAAAAGAAGTAAGCGCGAATTTCAACAGAAAAAGCTGTTAAAATTAGAAGAACTATACGAATCTGGGAGTGAAATATTCTAGAAAACAATTGGTAAAATTACAATCGTGAATGATAGAACACTCTCACTACCGTCAAGGACGGAAGGATATTGAATATCTGGAAAGTGCAAAATGCTGATAATGAAGATGTGTTTATCAATATTGACATAAACGCTGTAAGTACATACTTAATTTTAGACTCTGAAATAACAATTGGGGAAATAAGGTGTAATACAGGCTTTGAAACTAAAAAAGGCGAATGGCTTTGATGACATTTCTGCTGAAAAACGGAACTGTGTGTGGAGTGCTTCGATCTTGGAGATCTGCCGAAACAATGGACCAGAAATGTTATACTTCATCCAATATTCAAGCCAGGAAGTGCAGATAACTTAGATACCTCAAATTACACTTGTTTCTGTTCCGAGTTAGGTGTATTGTCATGTACTAAACAAAAGACTTTCAAAGTGGCTCGAACGGAATGATTTACTATCAGACTTTCAGAACTGTTTTAGAAAGAAAACCATATATTTTCCCTTTATAACATAATAAATGATAGGAAAGTCAAGCGGAAGTCCACTTTCATCTGCTATGCGGATTTTAGACGTGCTTTTGGTGGAACCCAGAGAAATAAATTATGGCATAAGTTGCGAAAAATTGTGTCTTAAAAATTTCTCAATGCCTCACAAGCTGTATACATGTGCTGTTAAGATAAACGGTAACTCACACCATCAGGGATAAAACAGGGTTGTATTATATCACCTACTCTTTTTGCAATGTATATTAATGATTTATTTGAGGAATTGCAACAACTTAAGTGCGTGATTCAAATTGGAGACATGAATATCTTTGCTGTGATGTATACAGATGATTGCTCACTTAATAAATTGTTGCACGTACTCAATAATTGGTGTAAAAAATGGCAACTAAATTTGAACTCTAGCAACATAACAAAAATTGTTGTATATCGGTATACCACCGTTCCTCAGTTAACCTGCAAATTTGTTTGCGGTAAAACTAATACTGAATACGCAGATGCGTATAAATACTTAGGTTTATGGATAGATGAATTTCTTGATTTGAAAAAAGGAACCAAGGAACTGTTTAACTCGGCAAGTCGTGCGCTAAGCGCACTGTGTTTAAATTGACTGGGGGTATGAGGTATAATGTGTTTAATAAATTATACAAGCCCTTGGTAGAATCAATGCTGTATAACTGTGCTGGCATTTGGGGTACAAAGTCGTACTCATGCATACATACCTTACAGAATAAAGCAGTGAAATTCTACCTTGGCAAAAAATGCAGTGTATCCGATTAGGTAATAAATTGTACAGAAATGATAAGGATAGGCATCTGTTTCATCTTGTTAAATATTGGTCATCATTGACAAGAGTGAAACAAAGTTGGTATCATCGTATTTTAGGAATAATCAAGTCTGTTAATATAAGTGAAATAGTTTTCAATTTAAAATGGTCTATTAAACGTATAATAAAAGTATTTAAGAATTTAACCAATCGGATGGAGTACAAAGAGCTTTATGATGATAGAAATCAGATAAATGACAATAAGTTACGAACTTACCATACTTCAGACTGTAAAATACCTTGATATCACAGGCGATATGTCAACTTCGAAGTGGATCTTTGCCTATAGCTTTAGAAACCGGAAGGTATGCCAAACCTCCAATACCGCTTGTAGATAGGAAATGTAAATTCTGTACTATGCAAACTATTGAAAATGAATATCATGTAATCCTTGAATGTCCAACATATAATCATATTCGAGAATTAATTTTTACTGCCAGTTTTAAATGTAATCTAAATTTTAATTTCTTTTAGTTCAAGTGATCAGTTTAATTTTATGATGACTACATTTTATATACAAATTCCAGGAAAATACCTGAACAATACAGCTTGATCAACTTTTTATAATTAATAACTGTTATTTAGATTTTAATGTTATTATGGCTTGATATTTATGTTTTAAACTTTGTGAATGTATCCCATGATTTTATATTAACCATTAACCAAGGTATATTTGACCCAAGCCTTTTTATGTTTATATTTTGACATCAAAATATACTGTACATATAGATACTTATTTATCTTATTTCATTAATGTATTGTAATGTAATTACTTTTATTTAACTCTTTATTTGTCGTTTTTAATGTGATCTTATTTATGTATTTATTCTATGTTATATATTTTTACATGTCAGTAAAATCCTGTTTATGTTGTTTAAATATTGTAATGATTTGTGACACGAATTTAATAAACCAATTATTATTATTATTACTTACGCTTAACACATATTTTTAGACAATTATATCGCGAAACAGATTTATATATCTATATATATAAAAGTTTACCTTTTGTGATTATATTTGACAGATTGTCTGTCAAAAGCGTTAATTTATATATATATTTTAATAACAATAATCGGTTTTACTTTGACTTCATCTATGCGTGTAGACTACTTAAATCTTGGCATTAATTTAAAAAATAAACGACGTGGTGGGAATATTCAACTGCAGAATGGCTCAAAAAGAACAATCTACCAGAACTCTTTTCCGAATACATATGCTACACAGCTTTATGGAACAACAATCAGTGGTTAAAGTTTTATGCAACGTTTCGACGTGTCTATATATCGTACTCACAATTGCTAAATGCCATTCAAAGACTTTATACATAATTATTAGAAAAACCATTTCGCTAGAAACCTCTTCTGGTATTTGAGAGTAAGGTTATATCATGATAAAACTTCTAATTAATATTTTGTCAGACAATACAGACAACTAGGCAATTGGATTACATAAATAATAAATGATAATGCCTTTCCCGTTGATATTCCTCACTGAGAGTATTAGATACTTGTAAATAATTCTAAACTTCCCGTCATTCAATGGTTGGTGCGAGTTTCAATTTATCTGTCATGAAGCTCTGAATAAGACGATGACATTGTTACATAATGACAAAAGTTCATGTCGTGTCAATTTGAATCCGGATGATTATATTTCAGAAGTAGTTCAGAAGTAGAGAATCAAGTGAATAGTCCTTAGTATTACACTATATTGCATAAGCCGATTTTCAAATAAATTACTTCTATCATCAACCCAATTCTTGGTAATATAGTCAAGGCAAATAATCACGAAAACAATAAGGCTACCTCTCTGCCAAACTTGATTGTTGCGAGGGACAATTGAACATTTAACCTAAGATCTATAAGAATCGGTTTATCCCCAAAAGGATCCCTAAAAGTTGTCCTATTATATCGGACTGTGGTAGTGAGTCATAAGCAGTGTCAGAATACATTGACCACTTCTTACTACCACTTGCATGACTACATCGAGCCTACCTTAAGGACAAAACTTATTTGCCAATAAAATCCAAAACCTTCACGTTCCACCAACTCCAATTTTGATGTGTCGTCTATGTACTCTGAAATCGATAATACTGTTTGGCTAATGGTGGCCCGATCAAATCCTAGAGCTCTGCCCCAGTCGCAATGACTTTCCATTCAATGGGAAAACGTATCTGCAAACCTCGGAGACAGCTATTGGCAAACTTTTCGCCCTTTCATAAGCAAACCTTTTCATGGTAGACTGGGGACGCGAGGTATTATCGCTTTGACCATTCCCCATGATTGTCCAATATTTTCACAAAAAAAAACAGAACCTTGTTCATAGCAAACTAAAGACAATTAGTTAGTTAGTTAGTCAATTAGTTACAAACTAACCGTAATTATTTTATCTTTTTTCAGATTAGAATAAAAGATATACTCCAGACCACTGGTTCCAATTTCTCAATGAATTATTTGTTTCATCCTATACCTGTACATTTGGAAGAATCGTACCGCCATTGCCCGAATTCAGATTATTACGTAATTCCGTGCTTAGATAAAACAAAAATGTTATATAGTATCTAGACTACTAGGTAAACAAAATGTAATTAAGGGTCAGACGAAGCTAGATAAATATTCTCGAATATTCCCAAAGGCAAAAACTGGCTATGTTCAGGTGAGACTAATTGATCTGTGAAAATAAACTGTCGTGTTGGGTGATCATCCGCATTGGTAACGAAACAATAGTTTGAGATGAAAATAAATAATACATTATAACATGTATTAAAAGCTACATGAAACTGATGCTAATAACACAAGTAAAGTACCACAAGAGATCGAACTAATTAATAATGATCTTCCATGATATAAACTGACGATAAAATGATTTTATGTAGAAACGTTTTGATTTAAGATGGTCTTTATAACAGAAGGGATAGCTGCAATTATAGCCAATTATAGCCACCTGTAGGTGAACATTTGGACCTATTATAGTCAATTTGCTATAGTCATTGGTATTTTTTAAAAATGAAAATGCTAATTGTGAAAATTCCCCTTTTCATCTGTTTTTAGTTGCTCAGGCGTAATTTTTGTTGATAAAGTTTAGTTTTTACAAGATAACTTTATTATGACCGCAAACGTCTCGGACAAACCTCTATTCAACCAGTTGTTGGGATTTATTGGAGATTCTAAGAAAATTCTGATCAAAATAGTCAACTGCTTAAATCTAGTCACTGCTTC